ACCACTAACGAGCCCCAGCTGCAGTGTTAATCTTGCATCCCGAAAAGACTCACAGAAGACGTCTGCTGAGTCACAACAGAACCCATATGTGAACTGGAGGAAAGGGTGGTTGCGCATCCATTCCGCTAAACCCCCAGAGGGGATGGGGAGGATCTCCCACATAGCCAATGTCAAAATCTAGCTGCCACAGTGCAGTAAAAGATTGAAGAAGAGAAAATCCCCAAAGAATATTGGACCTCAAGGAGGTTTTCAGTGAAAGGGCCTCCAACAGACTACCCCCTCACCATGCCACTGATTGCAGCATTGAGACCCTCCCGGGGAAAAACTCCCTAAGCCTCAGATTTATTCAATGACCCCTCCTGAAATGGAGGAATTACGAAAGTTCATTGACAAAAAATTAAAAAGAAGGTTCATACAATCAGCTAGACCACGGGTGGCCACACCCGTTTTGTTCAGAGAAGAGAAAGATGGCTCCTTTCATTTATACGTTAACTATAAAATCCTGAGTGCCATTTCCGTGGAAAACATGTACCCTCTGCCACTCATGAAGGACATGTTAGTCCAGTTGGGTAAAGGGAAAATTTTTCACAAGTTGAACCTAAGGGAAGCCTACTACCGAGTCAGAATAAAGGCGGGAGATGAATGGGAAACTGCTTTCCACAGCCCTTTGAGATGTTTCCAGTTTAGGGTTCTCCTGTTTGGACTTCAGGGGGTGCCAGCAGTCTTCATGCAATTAATAAATGAATTTGTATGAGCACCTTACAAGGGGGTGTTGGTTTACCTGGACGGCATCTTTATTTACATGGAAACACGTGATAAACACGTGACTTTGATGCACTCTGTTCTCAAAAAACTCCAGGCCGCTGAACTTTATGCCAAATTGTCTAAGTGTGAATTTCACCAGGAGAGGATTGATTATTTGGGATACTGTATCTCCCACAAAGTTATCAAGATGGACCCAGAAAAAGTCCGGGCTGTCACTGAGTGGGCATCTCCTCACACCCGTAAGCAACTATAAATTTTGGGATGTGCAAATTTCTATCGCCAATTTATCCCCTGGTTCATCAGCGTTGCATTGCCAATTACCAATCTTCTAAAATCAAAAGGGGAGGTTAAACCTAGGCTAGGTAAACCTCTGAATTGGACTATGGAATGTCAAGCAGCTTTCGAGAAATTGAAGCGACTGTTCACAGCTGAGCCTGTTTTGAAATACCCAGACATGGATGCACCATTCGTGGTTCAAGCTGATGCCAATGATGTGGCAGTGAGGGCAGTATTGCTCCAAACAAAGGCAGGGGGCAAATTGCAACCTTGCTCTTACACCTCACATAAGCTTACAGAAACAGAAAGGAGATGGGCCATATGGGAAAAAGAAGCTTGGTGACATTTCCTGGAAGGGGTGAAACATCCTTTTGAAGTATGGACCAATCATAAAAACCTGGAAGCATTGAAGACCCCACGTAAGCTATCACCTAAACAAGTGCGCTGGACACAGCATTTCAACCGGTTCAACTTTACTCTAAAATACATCCCAGAAGGGAAGAACTTTATGGCTGACGCCTTGTGCAGGCTTCCCCAGTACAACAGCACCAGACCAACCGTAGTTCATCCAGTCATCCCGGCAAAGAACCTGATTGCCCCAATGGTTACTAGGAGCCAGGGCCCAGTGGATTTAGATGTGACCACTGACCTGATGGACAAACTTAAGAAAGATCTCGCATCCGATTACTGGTTCAAAAAACATTTTGATGAATGCGCCATGAAAGATGGACTGGCTTAGGTGGGAGCTAAGCTGTATATTCCTGCCAGCCTGAAAACTGTTGTTCTTCAATGGGCACATGACTCGAGAATGGCGTGTCATTTTGGATTTATAAAAACTTTGCATTTGATTAAGAGGCAATTTTGATAGCCTTCCCTGAAAAAAGACATTGAGTCCTACAGAGCCAGTTGCCCTGTCTGTGCCACTGCTAAGAGACCACTAGGGAAGCCTCAAGGTTTCCTTCAAAGTGCTGCCCATCCTGGGGTCCCGTGGAAGGAGATATTGATGGATTTTATTGTGAAGTTACCAGAAAGTCTTGGAAATACTGTCATTTGGGTAATCAACAATCTGTTCTCCAAACAGGTCCATTTTGTGTCCTGTTCCAAGATCCCATACGAAAGGCATTGGCTAAATTGTTTATTTTACATGTCGATAGATTACATGGAGTACCTGAACGCTTATTTCGGACAGGGGGATCCAATTCACTTCTCACTTTTGGAAAGAGTTCCTGAAATTGATTGGCTCTGCCCAGGGACTAAG